CATTGAGAAAGGTAATGGAGACTGCTTGTAATATTTAGTATAAATTGGTATGGAGTGAAACTAAAAAAAACCAAAAACGTATTTATAGAGAAAAGCACTAACATGTACGATTAATTGTAAATTGTTGTCTCAAACCACTAATAGAGGCCAATCTGAAACAACGTAAATTTTAGGGTTCCCTGTCGACGTCTTCTACAGAAGAAGCATCTTTGCTTAAGAAGACAAAGAAACATGAAGCATCTGCACAAAAGACGATCAGGAGTCCAGGAAAAGAGAGTGCATTGAGCAAGGTAATAGAATAATTGTGTTCAACATAAATTGGTTTGGAGCCAAACTAAAACTAAATTAAAAATGATTTATATAAGAAATCACTACAATCAATGGTCTTTTTTAAAATTGTTGTCTCTATCCGCTAATAAGGCCAATCTCTAACAATGTAAAATTTTAGGTTTCGTTGTCTTCTGAAGAGGAAACATTTTCGTTCCAAACAACAAAGAAACATGTGGTATGTGGACAAAAGACGTTCCACTAATAAGGGCCAATCTCTAACAACGTGAATTTTAGAGATCGGATGACTTTTAAAGAGAAAACTTCTACGTTGCAAGCAAGAAATAAACATGTATCCAAACAAGAAACCACACAAAGAGAGTACACCATGCAAGGTAATGAGATTGCTTGTATGAAATTGAAATTGGATTGGAGTCAAACTAAAACTAAATTAAGAACTTATTTTACTGGATTTCTCTACCGTGTTGCACTAATAAGGGGCAATCTCTAACAACGTGAATTTTAGGGTTCCCTGACTTTTAAAGAGAAAACTTCTACGTTGCAAGCAAGAAATAAACATGTATCATCTGGACAAAAGACAACCAAGGAATCACAGAAGGAAAGAACACTGAGCAAGGTAATGAAATTGCTAGATAAATTGGATTGGGGTCAAACTGAACCCAAACTAAAAACTTAATCATACAGGAAATGTTCTATATATTAGATTGTTGTCCCAACCCACTAATAAGGGCCAATCTCCAACAACGTTAATTTTAGAGTTCACTGTCCTCTAACGAGGAAACATCTTTTCTGAAAGAGACAAAGAAACCTGA